TAAGGTCTCCCCTCAGCCTTCTCTTCTCCAGACTAAAGAGTCCCAGCTCTCTCAGTCTTTCCTCACCAGGGAGATGCTCCAATCCTTGAATCATCTCTGTTGCCCTATGCTGGACTCTCTCCAGCAGTTCCCTGTCCCTCCTGAACTGGGGAGCCCAGAACTGGAGGCAGGATTCCAGTTGTGGCCTCCCCAGTGCAGAGCAGAGGGGGAGAATGACTTCCCTTGACCTGCTGGCCACACTCTTCCCTACGCAGCCCAGGATTCCGTTGGCCTCTTGGCCACAAGAGCACACTGCTTGCTCCTTGTCATTTTGCTGTCCACCAGGACCCCCAGATCTTTCTCTTCAGAAGTTGCCTCCAGCAGGTCCACCCCTAACCTGTACTGGTGCCTGACATTCTTCTTCCCCAGATGCAGGACCTTATGCTTTTCCTTGTTGAACCTCATGAGGTTCTTCCTTGCCCAGCTCTCCAGCCTGTCCAGGTCACACTGGATGGTGGAGCAGCCCTCTGGGGTGTCAGCCACCCCTCCCAGTTTGGTACCATCAGCCAACTTGCTGAGGATACACTCTGTCCCCTCCTCCAGGTCACTGATGAATATGTTGAAGAGCACTGGAAGGGACGGGGAAGATGGGAAGGGACAGGGCAGAAGGGAAGGGACGGGGCAGGCAGCCCTGTCACCTCCCAGGAGCTCTCTCTTTGCCGGGAGGGTGGTCTGTGGGTGAAGGCACCACAAACAGGCTCAGGGTGGACCATCCCATGCCTGTCACTGTCACCATCACAGCCAGGGAGCGGGTTCACCTACAGCCGGTCTGTCTCGGGGTGTAAAACCAACCTCTTGCCGTGGGGTAAAGGGCTGGGGGAGGGGGGATTATTTTGCCCCACGGGCCCCAGAGGAGAGGGGTGTCAGGCTCAGGAGGGTCCCAAGTGCCTCCTCCACCATCCCCTAGTCCTCGGGCAGCTGCTGGGAGGTGGGAGCGTGGTCTGGCCACGGGGGGATAACCCTCCTCCCCTTCCTGCCATTTCAGATCTTTGCCATGTTCTTTGCCTTTTGCCTTTATTACAACTTCGACTGAGTGGGACGACACACGGCAGAGACCAGCCCCGGGGCTCTGGGAACACCACAGACCAGTTTGCTCCATCTCCTGGGGTACAGGACCCAGCTCAGCACCCCCAGCGCTGCCCCCAGTCCTGTCCCTGCTCCTGCAGGAGCATGAGGATGGGCCAGGCTCGGAGCAGGGACAGGACTCAGGTTAAATTCCTTGGAGACAACCATGTGGGGAGGGGAGGCTGAGCATCACCGAGTGGTGAAGGTCAGAAGGGACCTCTGGAGACCATCTCATCCCAGAGCAGGTTGGACAGAATCGTGTCCAGGCAGGTTTGAATGTCTCCAGAGAAGGAGACTCCACCACCTCCCTGGGCAGCCTCTTCCAGGGCTCTGCCACCCTCACAGGAAAGAAGTTCCTCCTCACGTTGAGATGGAATTTCCCATGTCCCAGTTTGTGCCCATTGCCCCTTTTCCTGTCCCCGGGCACCACTGAGAAGAGTCTGGCCCCATCCTCTTGCCCCCTGCCCTTTAGCTATTGCTCAGCAGCAATGAGATCCCCTCTCAGGCTGCTCTTCTCCAGCTGAACAGCCCCAGGTCCCTCAGCCTTTCCTCAGCAGAGAGATGCTCCAGCCCCTGAGCAGCTTCGTAGCCTCCACTGGACTCTCTCCAGCAGTTCCCTGTCCTTCTGGAACTGGGGGGCCCAGAACTGGTCCCAGTGCTCCAGCTGTGGCCTCCCCAGGGCAGAGCAGAGGGGCAGGATGACCTCCCTCCACCTGCTGCTCACACTCTTCTTCATGCTCCCCAGGAGACCATTGGCCTTCTTGGCCACCAGGGCCCATTGCTGGCCCATGGGCAGCTTGTCCTCCTTCCTCCAGCTTCTTGCCCCACACAAAGCCTGTACTGGAGAGGGATTTCCACACACTGGTCCCAGTGTGGCCGCTGCTTGGTTCCTGCTCTGCCGGCTGGGAGGGTGAAACGGGAACTGAAACACCGGGTGCTGTTCCCGTTTCTCCGAGAGAAAGCTGGAAATCGGAAGCAAACCAGTACTTCCACTTTTCCTTTCCTTCTGAATAGTCCAAAAACTCTACACCACAAAACAAAAAATACACATATATAAGTTAAAGCTTTATATTTTATTTATATAATGAACTTTTCACACAAAAAATCCTAGGAAATAGGAAAACAAAGCAGCTACAGCTACGTGTCAGTTAAAATATTTAGGAAAACCTGTGTATGGAGACAAGGACAGGGAAGGCAGCGGCGACAGCCACGAGGGGAACAGACCCCCCTCAGGAATCCAGGCGGGATTTCTTCTCCTTCTTGCTGAGGTTACTCCCTTTTCTCTTCTGCACAGCGGATCCGTCGGTGGTGCTCGTCTCGCTTTGGTTTATTTTCTCTTCCAAAGGCTTGGAAACCTGTAAGAGCACAAGAAATAAAAGTGAGAGCTGTGAGTAGGTCAGTTTTACGGCCCTTGGTACCGCTGTGGGTTCCCAGCTCCGGGGGTTCCCAGCTCTTGGAACACCCTGCCCTCCGTCGGGATCAGACCCGAGTGATCCTTGATTGTCCTGCTCCCAGGGCTGGGGAGTTTGGGGAGGGGATGGAGGGGGGAGCAGGGTAACGACTCCGCCTGGAAGTGCTCAGTGTTGCCAGACAGATCCCTCCACCCCAAGCCCTTTAACGACCCACACAATTAATTTACAAACACGTGGAGGGCAGGAGCGGCGAGCAGCACTCCAGGGCTTCCAGGTAGAAGACATTCCCTCTGGGAAAGCACAATCTGCTGGATCAAGCACTGGCTGACTGGAAGGTCCCAAAGAGTGGTGCTCAATGGATTCAAATCCAGCTGGAGGCCAGTCACTAGTGGTGTGCCTCAGGGCTCAGTGCTAGGACCATTTCTGTTTAACATCTTTATTGACGATCTCGACAAGGACATAGGGTGTATCATCAGCAAGTTGGCAGATGACACCAAGTTAAGCAGGAGTGGTGACTCCCAGGAGGACAGAGAAGCTTTGCAAGAGGACCTAGATAGATTGGATCACTGGGCCAAGATCAACGGCACGAGTTTCAACAAGGGCAAGTGCCAGGTTCTGCACTGGGGCCACACCAACCCCCTGCAGCGCTACAGGCTGGGGGAAGTGTGGCTGGAGCTGCCTGGAGGAAAGAGACCTGGGGGTTCTAATTGACAAACGGCTGAATATGAGCCGGCCTGTGCCCAGGGGGGCAAGAAAGCCAATGGCATCCTGGCTTGTATCAAAAATAGTGTGACCAGCAGAAGTAGGGAGGTGATTGTGCCCCTGTACTCAGCACTGGGGAGGCCACACCTCGAGTGTTGTGTCCAGTTTTGGGCACCTCAATCCAAGAGAGATCTGGAGGTGCTGGAGCGAGTGCAGAGGAGGGCAACGAAGCTGGTGAGGGGGCTGGAAAACAAATCGTATGAGGAGCGGCTGAGGGAGTTGGGACTGTTTAGTGTGAGGAAGAGGAGGCTGAGGGGAGACCTCATCACTCTCTACAACTACTTGAAAGGACACTGTAGAGAGGTTGGTGCTGGTCTCTTCTCACAGGTAATTAGTGACAGAACGAGAGGGAACGGCTTCAAGCTCCAACAGGGGAGGTTTAGATTGAACATTAGGAAGGAATTTTTCACCGAAAGAGTGGTCGGGCGTTGGAACAGGCTGCCCAGGGAGGGGGTGGAGTCCCCATCCCTGGCTGTGTTTAAGGGCCGTTTAGATGCAGTGCTGAGGGACATGGTGTAGGGGAGGACTTTGTAGAGTAGGGGAGATGGTTGGACTCGATGATCCCAAGGGTCTCTTCCAACCTCAATGATTCTATGATTCTATGATTCTCCAAGTGGGGTGCAGGGAGGGGAAGGAGAAGGCCCAAACAGAACAGATTATTTTTTAGAACAGGTTTTGTCCTCTTTGTTTTTATGCGAGTTCCCTGGGAGATGAGTCGGGGCACGGGAGGGAGAGGAGGCAGGGGGATGGAGGAAGGCTGTTCTCCACTGGGAATTGGGAGACAGGAGCAGGGGGAGAATGGGCACAGCTGGGTGTGAGGCACAGCCAGAGCAGAATAGAGCTGGGAAACGGGGCAGCAGCCTCCCCGGGGAGGGGGTTTATCAGGATTCAGCCTCCTCCTTCCACCACTGCAGTTATTTGTGAACAAAGACATTTATTTGGAAGGAGTGAATCTACTAATCTTACAAAAAAATATAAAAAACCAAAAAGAAGTATAATGAAATTAAATACAGGCCCAAAGCAGAACAGAAGGGGAGGAAAGAAGGGAGGTGGCCAAAGGAGCTGCACAAAGGGATGGAGAATGAGAGGAGCCGGGCTGTGCACAGAGACAGAGGAAGCAGAGCACGTTTCTTACCCTCTTCTGCTGGCTGGCGTACTTCTCCGTCCACTCTCTGGCATTTAGCAAGAAGAGCTGCTTGTTGTACTTGTACTCCGAGGACTAAACGTCAGGAGAGAGACAGAGATTTGATTTATGACAAACATCAGAGCGAGGAGCTGGGACTCAGCTCCGGCTCCAGGACTCCTAGAACCAGACTGGAACCACTACGAGCGGCACAAAGAATAAAATTCATTTTCTTTGCTTGAAGAACACGCGCTGCCCTTTGAGGGCTTGAAGACAAGAGCGTGACCATCCCTTACGAACGACAAGACCAGAGGAAATGGTCTGAAGTTGGGGCAGGGGAGATTTAGATTAGATATTAGAAAGAACTACTTTACTGAGAGGGTGGTCAGGCACTGGAACAGCCTGCCCAGGGAGGTGGTGGAGTCACCATCCCCAGAGGTATTTAAGAAACGTATAGACATGGCTCTTCAGGGCATGCTCTAGTGCCCAAGGTTATTGGTTTATGGTGAGGTGTTGAGTGTGGGGTTTAATTGGTGGGCGTTTGGTGTGGTGTGTTTTGTATTTGGTTGGTGGGGGGTTTTTTTTTTTGTTTTGGTTTGGTTTTTTTGTGGTTGGACTCGATGATTTCAGAGGTCCCTTCCAACCACTAAGATTCTGTGATTCTCCATCACTGGCACAAACCCTGGGCCACAGTCACCCCCCAGCCCTGACCCATGTCAAGCTGCACCAACAGGGAAGGTGCCAGCGCGTTAACGCAGAGGGAGCGAAGGGGAAACGTGGCCTCAATGTCACCCACCCCCCGTCCCTTCCCCAGGGCCACCAGGGAGGAAGAGGAGCTCACGTACTATGTCTGCCATGAGAGGGTCGTCGGGGTTGGGCTCTGCCATCAGCAGCTGGATGGAGCTCAGCAGCGTGGAGATGTTCAAGGCCGGTCTCCAGGCGCCCTTGGAGGAAACGGGGTGAGAGAAGTGGTTCAGCAGGAAGAAACCCCCCCCAGGGACACCCCAGGACTTGGAGCCTTTAAACCCCACCTGCCCACAAGCTGCCTCAGGACTTGGAGCGTTTAACCCTCACAAAAAACCACCAAATCCTCTCTCAACACGGGCTGTGGCCTCTCTGAGGAAGCCTCACCAACAGGCACAGGCTGCACCTCTCTGCTTGATCCATATTGGGGCAGCCCCTTTTCACCAGGCCACCTAATGCCTTTGGACTCCAGTCCTTCAAACCTCAGAAACTTATCTGGAACAGAGGAGGTCAGGTTCTAGTCTCTAAACAAAGGAGATGCCGCTCAAAAAACTTTACTCCCTAAATAAGTCAGTAGCGAACAGACATTCAATAAGGCTTTTACAAGAAAAAGATAAGGAGGTCATTCTCCTCCCCAGGCTCACTTACCCACCCCCAAGTTGCTACCTTACCTTTGGAGGTAATTTAAGAACATCCAGGCAAATCCTTCCAGCGGAGTCGATGTTCGGGTGATAGATAGGGGTGAGAAAGCGAATCTTCGGGGGCTCAAACGGGTACCTTTAAGGGATAAGTGGTAAGAAACACAAAAATTATTTTCCTATTTGTCTGCCAGTTGCTTCATCACCCCCAAAATGCTGTCGTTTCCTCCTCCCAGCCATTTACTGAGTGACATCCTTCCCCCCAGGTTGTGGGAGGGGGCAGCACCCAGCCTTCGACGCTTCCAGCCGTGTCCGACCGGCACTTCCCTGGGCAGCTCCCGCAGAGAAGGAACACCACAGGAAGCTTCTGCTCCTGAACAACCTCCTTTCCAGAAAGCTCCGAGACAACACGATCAGGGAGAGATCTCATCATAATGCTTTTAGGCTGTTAATCACACACCTGAGGATGCCCAATGTGAGATAAGCTTATCAGCCAAGGGAAATAACAATTAATCATAGAATCATATAATTGCCCAGGCCGGAAGGGACCTCCAAAGGTCATCTAGTCTAACCCCCCCCCGCAGTCAGCAGGGACACCCCCAACTAGACCAGGTTGCCCAGGCCCTCGTTGAGCCTCACCTTGAATATCTCCAGGGATGGGGCCTCAACCACCTCCCTGGGCAACCTGTTCCAGTGCTCCACCACCCTCACAGTGAAGAAAATTACAGGCGTCAAAGGAAGGGCGTCACCCAATCAACCACCTTCCTTCTTGGGAGGCTGATGGAAACCCCACACAGTACTCCAGGATTGGGGCAGAGTGGCTGGAGCTGCCTGGTGGAAAAAGTGGAAAGGAGTTGGTTGACTGTCAGCTGAACAGGAGCCAGCAGTGTGTCCAGGTGGCCAAGAAGCCACCACCATCCTGGTCTGTGTCAGGAACAGCGTGGGGAGGAGGACTCAGGAGGTGATGGTCCCCCTGGACTGGGCACTGGTGAGGCCCCACCTCAAGTGCTGTGTCCAGTTTTGGGCCCCTCACCACAAAAAAAAGATGAGCGGGTCCAGAGAAGGGCAACGGAGCTGGTGAGGGGTCTGGAGCACAAGGAGAAGGGGCTGGAGAACTTGTGAGGAGCAGCTGAGGGAGCTGGGGGTGTTCAGCCTGGAGAAAAGGAGGCTGAGGGGAGACCTTCTGGCTCTCTCCAACTCCCCGAAAGAGGGTGTAGCCAGGGGGGGTTGGTCTCTTCTCCCAAGGAGCAGGCCATGGGACAAGAGGAAATGGCCTCAAGTTGCCCCAGGGGAGGTTCAGATGGGAGATTAGGAACAATTTTTAAACAGAAAGGGTTCTTAATCCTTGGAACGGGCTGCCCAGGGAAGTGGTTGAGGCCCCATCCCTGGAGGGATTCAAAAGCCAGGTTGACATGGTGCTTGGAGACATGGGTTAGTGATGGGTTTTATCAGTTGGGTTGATGGTTGGACTCGATGATCTTAAAGGTCCCTTCCAACCCAGACAATTCTATGAAAGACCAAAAAAGGTCCCTTCCAACGCAGACAATTCTATGAAAGACCAAAGCGGTAGCACTTGTATCAAAGAGCTTACTTCAGTTAATTTATATTTCATAGAGTATTCATGGTTCGGATCTCGTTGCCCACTTACCTTTCAGGAACAACTATTTCCAGGTTGAATATTCCTTTTTCATATGGTGTGTCTGCACCTCCTAGAATTTCTTTAAAAGCAAGATTAAAACATAAGTGTTAGAATCAAAAATCACCTGGATTTGTCCAACAGCCTCCACAAACCTCCCAGTTGAACTCTCCTGCTGCCCAGACCCAGGAATAAAAAAAGCATTATCTCATCTGAGGCCAGTTCCACCCCGCAGCCCTCCAAACCCCAGGCAGATCGACAGAGCCATATGCCAAGGTATGTTTATAGATAAGAAAAAAAACCCACCCTTTTTCCCTAAAATTCCATGCTTCTGTGGAAGCTATAAAGCACCCACCACCCAGCGAATCCAAACCTGGCAGCAAACTCTAACACAGCCCCCGTGGGACAGTACGTACGTGCGTGCAGGTTGTCCAGCTGGTTTCCATTCTGCCAGCAGGTGATTCCTGGGGGCGGCTCCGTGGTCAAGAGGGAGAGCTCCCTCTTCAGCCGCGACGCTCTTTGCATCCTGCTCAAACTCCTTCAGAGACGGGGTTTTATCACTGGCAAAATTGGCACTTCAAATATCGAGTCTTTCTTTCTTTTCTTTTTTTTGGCTGAGGAGAATTAACCCAGGTTTCAAGTCTTCCTGGTGGGATGAGCAGAGTCTGAGGAATCTGCTCCCGGAGCTGCTCTCGCATCCAGCTAGAAGAAGAGAACCAGATTCTGCCCTATTTATAATCAGTTCCACTCCTCAGTCCCCACCTGAGTGTAATAAACCCTCAGTCCCCACCTGAGTCTAACAGACCCTCCCAGTCCAGGGGCTCCAAGTGTAATAAACCCTCAGTCCCCACCTGAGTGTAACAGACCCTCCCAGTCCGGGGGCTCCACACCCCTCATAGGACCTGGGACAACCCTTGTCCCTTCAGGGACAGGGGCACCCCTTGCCCTGCTGGGGCTGTCTGCCCCCAGAGGAGCCTCAGACTGGGACACCCAGGGGTTCCTCCTCCTTCCAGCCCCCCCAGCAGACAGGGACACCCCTCCCGCCCCAAAGGGGCCTCGCTCTCCTCTCCTGTGCAACAGGAAACCCCAAGCTGCCTCAGGGATGGGACATTTCCCCCCCACCACCCCTCACTCTGCCCGTCCCATTACCATGGACGGGGCACCTCCTCCTGAGCATACAGGGACCCCAAGGGGGGGGACAGAGGGGACCCACCCCAGACCTACTGCTCCCCCCTAATGAAGGAGAGCCCCTCCCTGGCT